TACAAATATGTATATAATTAAATGTAAAAAATGTTTAACATGTCATCATAATTTTTTCTTTAGGTTTACGACAGGTTAAAAAAAGAGCAGCCCAATTTTAGTACCAAAGTAATAATGATACATGCTGATTTAAGCAAGTTAGATCTTGGATTATCAAAGGAAAATCGAGAACGTCTTTTGGATACAAATGTAATATTCCACGCAGCAGCGACTGTACGATTTAATGAACCAATTCGAATTGCAGTAAATATAAATATAAGAGGAACAAAGCAGCTTCTTCTCTTAGCAAAAGAAATGCCGAAGTTAAAGGTATATAAAAAAATATTATTTTAATTAATTAAGTTTTGAATTTTATAATTGTAGAAATTTAATTTATTTAATTTTAGTCATTCGTCTACGTATCTACTGCATTTTCCCATTGTGTAAATAATTTCATTGAAGAAAGATATTATCCTGCGCCTATGGAAACGGATAAAATTTTGATTTTAGTCGATATTGTGGACGATGAAAAATTGGACAAATTCATGCCAACGTAAGTGCTGTTCTAACATTAAAAATTACAAGAATAGAAGTCAAATGTTAAAATATTTACAGTTGACTCAGCGTTAAGTTATTAGCATTTCATCATCACATTGCATTACATTACAATGCGCGGTATAATTATGGCATAATTTTTCATTTGCGTTTTCATTACGCAATCAATATTGTCAATAATAAAGAGATCGATTTTTTTTTTTTAATAAAGCCAAGTAAACAGATATGATGAAAATTCTATTGCTATACTTGAATAAAAACTATCTAACATAACTTCAATAAATGAATAGAAATTTGTTTTACAATAGTCAGATCATATACTAACATACATTGCTAGTACTGAAAATCTATAGTTTAAGTTACGTGTTATATTTTCAATAATGGCTAAATATCGCAATGCAAATATTTATATTACATTTTCAATTATTATTCATGATTTCCTTCAACATTATTATGCAATTATTCTTACAATTAATTATATCAAAAACCGGCTAGCTGGTTTTTTAAATAGATAAATAAATTATAAATAATGTTTTTAAAGTGAAAAAGATTTTTATTAAAAATGTTAGAAAATAAAATGTTTTAAAACTTTATAAGTACAAAAACTATACTTTTTTGAAATTTAACATATATAATATGTTTACGGAACGTTTTTTACATTGTATAAAATCATGTATAAAAACTGTATTAAAAAAATGTTATACGCTTACATATACGTTTAGAAAACATTCGAAAAATCTATTTTGTCTAAAAACGGTATTCTAACCTAGTAAAAAAAGGTTTAATGGATGTCAAACGTTTATAAGATTATTTAATAGCTTAAAAAGTATCAGAGTTTAAATATTTACTTTTTAGTTTATTGCAAGATTTCTTTAATGTTTATTATAGAGTCTGCCAAAAATGTGGAAACCCCTTAATATTTTGAAAACTAAGCATTCTTAGAGAAAAATATTTCAAACAAAAGTTGTAGGATTTAAATAAATCTATTTACTGTTCACATCGGTTTGATCTTGGATGACGTCGCCTCAAGAACAGGTCAAGGTCACATCGATTTTTTTTAAATAGAATATCCCATTCTTTATTTCAGAATCCACATTTTGTTATTAAAGGCATCATCTTTGTGATTTCTATTCAGCTTTGTAAGTAGCATGGGAAAATGTATTCTCGACAAAGAACTTAGTTTGGCATCCCTGGAGACTGCAAAAAATAAATTTATATTTTCCAATTTTGTATGCCTAGATAACAAGCGATATTAATTATGTAAATTTTTCACATATATTTTTCGCTGAAGAAGGTTAGAAAACCGAAACATACAATTTTATTGTTGTTTTAACGATTATGTTTGTTCTATGGTTTCTTCAATAAATTTTATTTGAATATTGAGAGATATTATTGAACAATTGGCGTATATCTTAAACAGCGCTTATTCCCTCGAGAAGTTTTATTTCTGTTAACTTTTAAAAATGAAAGTAAGAGGTACAACCTTGCTTGATTTTGCCAAGTATTATCTAGATCACAATCCTGAATAACATTTAAGAGGTTTTAACGTCAGTCGGACCTTGCGTAATGTTAATGCCGGCGGTACTGTAACTTTTAAGCCTTATAACTCGAAAAATACATAATAGAAAATAATTTTATTACAGTATATTTTGAAAAGGTGTTAATATCAGCTATTAGATCTTGACATAAAAAATGGAGTGTTTTATTTAAAAAAATTGATGTGACCTTTATCTGACTTTGGTGACGCCATTCAAGATTAAACCGATGTAATCAGTAAATAGATTTTTTTGAACTCTACAACTTTTATTTGAAACATTTTTCTCAAGAATATGTAGTTTCTGAAATATTAAAGGGTTTCCACACTTTTGACAGACCGTGTATAATTTTGAACATAATTGTATTGCTTGATTTATGTAAATAGTTCAAGGTATTAACTTCAAGTTGTGATGTTTACATAACATCTCATTAACATAGATCAACAAGGGATATCTAAAAAAAAACGTTCTTACGTCTTAAGACATCCCTGAATATTTTTTACACGATTACATTGTCTTTTAAAATCAGTTAGGTACATACTTGTGTAATATAATTATTATATTTGATAAATTCTTAAATTAATAGAAGTTTTCTTTATTTTATACTAAAAACATTAAGTAAACATTATTAATGTTAAATATTTGTTTAGTAAGCCATCGAAATGTCTTGAATAAAAACAATATTTAAATTATTAAAACAATATTTAATAGATGCTACAAACTTATAACTATTTATAAGTTTTATCCAAGACTACTTCTTTAAGAAATTTTAAATTATAAATAATTAAATAAATACATAAAAATAATATCCAAAACTGATGTTAAATTTATTACGGTAAGTATTTCATAATGCTTACTAAATTTATATTTAGAAAAATAAAATAATTTATTTTGATTATATTATAAACAAATATATTTAATTAGCATTATTTCACTAAATATTTAGTAACTGTTATCAAACTCTCATTTCAATATATAATTTATATACGCGCGCGCGCGCGCGTGTGTGTGTGTGTGTGTGTGTGTGTGTATAGAATGTTTTATACTCTTAATTAATATTTCTAAGAGTGAAAGAAGATGGAATTTTGAAGTAAAAGTTCCCAATTTTGTATATATAATAATATAATATTTGTATTATATATTTTATATAATTTTATATATAATATTTATGAGAAAGAGAGAAAGAAAGAGACAATCTATCTATTCTTTTAAATATACATAATGTAAGATTAACAAATATATATATATATACACACATATATATATATATAATTTTTTAATCTCATGTATCTTTTAAAAGATACATGAGAAAATTTTTTTATATTACGTTATGTAAATATTGTGTATAATATGTGAACAAATATAGATTAATAGATGACTGGCCGAATTCATATGCATATACAAAGGCGATCGCTGAAGATACTGTTCGACAATACAGCATAGGAATTCCAGTTTGCATTGTACGACCATCAATTGTAATATCAACCGCTGAGGAGCCAGTGAGCGGCTGGATCAACAATGTATATGGAGCAGTCGGTGTTGTCATGGGTAGTGCCATAGGTTTATTACGTACTTTGCATTGTGATCCTGATAAAGTGGCAGAGATAGTGCCCGCTGATTATGTTATTTCGCATCTCATAGTTGCGGCTTGGGATACCGCTAAAAGAAAGTAAGTTCGCATTTCAATATAACTTTTGAGTTACATAATTCCTCAAATTTTTATCTTTATTAAAAATCATTTAATTATGATAACTTTAAGCACAAATTAATTTAAAATATTGTAGACCCGCAAATATCAGTGAAGGAAATTTCGGAGAATATTAATTAGGGTTAAAGTTAAAAAGTACATACAGTGCATATACTATTAAGCAGATGCATGATGATTGGTCTATTAATTTTTACAATTTTGTCACGATCTCTCCGCAAGGAACTTATGAAATAAGTATCTGTAATGAGAGAATCGAATATCGAAAAAAACCTATTATGACATAGTTATTTACGAACAGCATATAATGATTAATAAAATGCAAGAAAAGAAATTATAATACAAAGAAATATAAAATTTAAATCTAATTGTATGTATATATAAATAGATTATATATAATACTTAATTCCTTCTTAAAAATAAATATCATACAGCCAGGATTGTATTTATAAAAATTTGCACCCAAAGCATGATCTCCGAATATCGCGATAGTGTTCCTCTCTTCTCTACTTGTTGTATGTCGCTGACTAGATTCACAAATACGAGATACTATCAATAGTATCTTATTAATCATAAATGCATTAATGATAAATGCATTAATAATTATCATTATGTTAATTATTGATGTCGTGTTAAGACTTCTAAGTATTCACTTCAGCTATATTGAATTGTGATAAGAGAAATGTGTCATAGCGACACGTTGATTTTTCTTGCATTCTATTTGTAAATAAAAACAAATTGGATAAAACGGAATAATGAGATCAAAATGTAAAATACTTGTAAAAATGGGTTAAGATTATTCTTATCCCCTCTCCCCTCATGATAGTCAGTAAATAGTCATAAAAAGCACTTAAAATGCGTTTAGTTTCTACTCAATGCGCATGCGTAGTTTATTTTTATTTCAAATTTTTTTTAACTATGCAATGATTGACACAGCGAATAAGGATAATCTTGTCCCAATTAATTTTTACAAGTATTTTACAACGATCTCATTATTCCATTTTATTTAAATTGTCTTTATTTACAACGGCATGCAAGCAAAATCAACGTGTCATTTCCTGCTTATGACGATTCAATATAACTGAGGTGAGTATTCAAGAGCTTTAACGCAGCTGTCTCATAAGTACATATACTGTTAACGACAACTTACTACTTTTGTTTCGATTAAAAAAAATTACACAACAAACGTAATTGTTTAAATTATCTAATTTCTTAAATTCATTTTTTAAGCTGTAGTGCCTTAGAATTTTAACCTAAAAAATCTACAGATAAATGCGCTACACGTACAATAGGGTATTAATCATGAAATTTTATCCCTAGGATGGAAAGTGAAAGGTGCAAATTTTAATCATTGAAATTAATGGAGAAATTTTTCACTTCTAGGAAAAAAGTTCGTTTCATGATTGATACCAAGAACTTTAGCAATTGTTAAGTCGAATTAATAAATAAAATGTCGAAAATATTTCTAAGGATTTATATAATTTTATAAGATTTAACGCTTCATATTCTATAACTTTATATCAATATTAATTTAAATAACAAAATAAGACTAATGCATATAAGATACTTTGTTATTTACAATATATTATACATTATTATGTATTTTTTATATATATTATATATTATACATTTATTATATATTTTTGTTAGAGATACTTTGTTGAGCATTGAGAGCGCAAATCCGAATGTTCCAGAAACTGAGAGAGTGCCAATTTACAATTACGTGTCGATATGCCAAAATCCCATTACTTGGAAGAAATTTATGAAATTAAATGAAATCTCTGGCATGCGGGTACCAAGCAAACATATTATTTGGTACTATATGTTTTTTCTAAACAAATATAAATTCGTGCACGATGTGTATGTGATAATTCTGCATATGATACCCGCTGTTATATTCGACACTGTGCTTTTTCTTATTGGCCGAAAACCTATGTAAGGAATTTATTGAGTTGACTTAAAAGCATAATAAAACATTATTGTGAATATTGCAGGATTTTAAATATAGTTGTAAACTTTTAGGCTATTAAAGGCATATAAGAAGATAAATCAGTTTACTTCTACAATAGCGTATTTTTCGACGCAACAATGGCAATTCAACAATGACGCCGTTGTAAAACTCTGGAGTCGTGTGACTCCAGCTGATCGCCAGATTTTCAATTTCAATATGAGTAACTTGAACTGGGAATTATATCTCGAGAATATGATGCCTGGTTTGCGCTTATACCTAGCTAAAGATCCGATGGATACTTTAGATGAAGGACGTGAGAAATTTAGGAGGCGAGTAATTTTCATTTCATATTTATCTAAAAGTTATTATTTTTTATCTCGTAAACCGTATTTATAATGATTCTTTTCTTTCAGATTAAAGGTCTATCATTACTCTTTGTTAACGGTTATTACGATTTTATTAGTATGGGGTATCATAAGCATAATAAATCGTATAATGTCTTTCTTGTAATTTAATAAATCATATAATGTTATCTTACACACACACATCATTAAAAAAAAATAAATATCTTTAGTGGAAATAAGTTATGGTAATAAGATTAATAATGATGGTAATGTAATTAATATTTTAGTAATGTAATTAATAGTGAGAAATGTTTGCATTACTGCTTTCTATTAGCCTGAGAAATGTTTGCATTACTGCCTTCTATTAGCCTCTTGCATATATATTGTATTCTTATTTCAACCTAGAAAGAGCTCTACAAACGAGCTGTTTTTTATTCATGCATACATGCGTAATCGCGAATTGTCTTATCACTATTATCTGCATAAAAATATAATAAATATCCTTCATATTATTTTTACTCACAAAAATTATAGTTATTTCGTGTACATTTTCTTATATAAGTTGAATAGTTTAAGTAATAAAAAATATGTATAATATAAATATAAACATGTACGTTATAAATATAATTCTATATATAAATAAAATATATTCTTAATAAACTGAAGAACATAATGTTTTATGTAAAACATAATATTACTTAACGACATATAATCATTTTTCGTCGTCATATTTCATATCAAAAATTTTATGATACTTAGTATTATTCTCTCTTGTTTGTATGAATAAATATTTATATTTTGTCGATGCCGTGTGGATATACGGGGGCAGGACCGACTAAAGTGAGTCAAACTTGGTGGGTAAAGACACAGTTTAGTGAAAAGGCGTGTGATCTTAGATACACGTTGTACAGAAGTGAGTAATGCGCAGCAGTACAAAAAGGATCGAGATCGTAGTACAGATGAGGATCGATATCGATGTATCGACTTGGTGTGAATCGCGATCTCGGCAACATATTTTATTGTATTAAATATATTTATAATTATGACACGCGTTTTGTTCAGATAACAAATAAAAAAAAAAGTACACGATGCTTTTTATTTTGTCTATTAAATTATTTTATTTATAACAATTATAATTTTATCTTATATATAATTTATAAATATAAATTTTGAGAACATAAAAGCTACTTTAATGGCTAATTTAACTATGTTATTTAATAAATTTATAATAATGTTTAACATTACGTATTATAATAAAATCAGTAATTTTATTCAAAAGAATATCCGGTAATAATGACGCTGCGCTTAACTTAGCACCGAGACACTACAGTAACTCCAGATATCTGCTTGTGAATGATGAGAATTTTTCCACAATATATATTATACAAGTAAAAGGAATATTACAGAAACATATAATATTTATCATAGTCAATTAAACTTGTTTCTTTTGTAAGTGGTAGAAAATAATAACCAAATCGATTTTTCCTGCAAAATATTAAATCAGTTTTTCTTGCAAAAGCGAAGGAAAATGCGCATTATTACGTATTTAATAATGTTTCTATTGAAATTTATTTACAATGAGTAATAAATTACTTTAATTATCCGTAACTAATTTTAAATCATAATTATATATACAAGTTAAATCATCAAGATTATTTTGCAATTATTAATATACAAAAAAAGAATATTTTCTACAATACATGGAAAAATTGGTTTTGATAAAATATTTAAAAATTTTAGCAAAATATAGATTTGAAAATAATTTGTTGGATTAAATAATTATATAAGATTCTCAATTTGCTAGAAGTTAGAATGTTAATATTTTATGTGACGTTATTCATCATACTTGAGTTTCCTATATAATAACAATTTTAAGGGCTCAACAAAATTATATTTTTTTTAATCTGTATCTATAAGCTAAATTTTTAAAAATCTTATCAAAATCACTTTTTCCTTGAAAATAAATGATTTTCTTTTTAAACATAATCAGTTTATAATGCTAATGAGTAAAGCAATCAGAAAAGAAATTCAGATACTTACCAGAAAATAGGCTTGTGGTAATCATATTGCGATGCTTTCTATGTCGGGCAGACAGGGAGGATTTTACAAACGAGAATCTCGGAACATTGTAATGACATCCGAAGGATGTCACAAGTAATCATTCTGTTATTACCGAGCACAGATTAGATCTAAACCATGATTTTGATTGGGAAAACACAGAAATTGTTGATGAGGAGCGATTTTTGTATAAACGATGTATCTCAGAAATGCTACATATTTAGTGACAAAAAAACAGCTTTAATTTGCAATCTAACACCGAATTTTTACATCACCTATACATCTCAATTCTCTATAATTTACATTGATTTAAATTGCCGTATTTGTTTTTATTATTTTTAAGTAACAGTAACTGACGTATGTTGGTAATACTGTCCGTTTTACTTATTAGTTTGTACACTGCTTATTATCTTTGACTCATTTGAATGTTGATCGTCATAATATTCGGAACGATTGTAGTGAATTTATATCGCTAAATATGAATAATTTGCGGATCCTTTGTTTTTTCGATTTTGATTGATTTTTAATATTCACGTCTTTCATGGCTGTATAGGTAAGTACATTAATTTTTCTTTATAATAAATAATTGGTAACATTTTTTATATCTGCACAGATTTTTATTTGTTATTCGTTGCCACTAGAATTGTCAACCATTACCAATAAGGAGATTGAGTTGCTACTCTACTGTCTCGCCATAAAGAAATGAGAATTTTACAACATACGTTCAGACATACTGATGATGGCCCGAAAGTAAACTAAAACGTTTATGCGTAACTATTATAGTTATACTATAGTTTTTCGATAATAAATTTTTATTTTCGCAGCTAACAGCCGCGCAGAAAACTCTCATTAGCTCTTATTTATTTTTACTTTTTGACATTCTCGAGACTTTGGTTACTTGTTCTAAATTTATTTTATTTTTTTATTATAAGTAAAAAACTTAATTAATATTTTGAAAATTTGTGCGATAAAAAGTAATTTTCAATGCATTTTTTCATGCACATATTCCATTCTTTAGAGCATTTTTTCAATTTTGCAGAGCATATTTTAGGCATTTAAAAAAGGAGTTTTACAGTATAATTTTAGGATAGTACATATACATAATAAACATATTATACGTAATGTACATATTAAAGATAAATATTTCACACACACAATTCCTTAATCCGTCAAATCTATTTCCGAAAGTTTCCTTCCTATTTCCAATATGTTTCATTGCAAACTAACCTTTTATATTCCTAATACATTAAAAAGTCTTATTAAGAGCAAAAGACAAGTTAGAGTTATTATCTAATCAAAACGTAATATATAAGATTTCTTGTGACGATTGTGAAGCGAACTATGTTGGTCAGACAAAAAGAAAATTAAGTATGAGATTACACGAACATATCTCTGATATTAAGGAAAAGACTAGTACTTCTATTGTCATAACCGGTCATCGTATCAATTTTGACCACAATTTCAGATGGAATGAAGTAAACATTTTAGATAACAAATCTTGGTACAACAAAAGATTAATGTCTGAAATGATTTATATCAAAAGACAGAAATAAGGTCTTAATAAACAAAATGAATCGTTGCCAGAATCTTATTTACATATTATACAATCTCTCTCTCGCTCTTAACTACCTTCTGCCTTTTTTTACTTTCTCTCCTCACTTCTTCCCTCTATTTTTTTCCCTCCCCCCTTATATGTTCCCTTTCCCTTCTAGTTTACCATATCTTCTTGTTTTGAAATTTTGTCGATTTTATATTGTCTTTGTGTGTGTGAATATCAAAGAGAAATGACTCTACTTTCACTCTCATCGCATTGTCTAAGAATAAATGACTTTTAATATATTTTATATTGAGATACATATTTATAATCAGTATTTATTCTCATTTAATTTGGCTGCTACTAAATTAATTTAAATATTTATAATGTATGATTGTATATCGCACAACTTTAATTCCTATTAATGATTTTAGTGTATATTTTTCTTGTTACATTGTATTACTTTTATTTCTATTACTTGCTTCTTATTACATTATATTACTGACTATTTATTTCTATTACATTTTTACATTATATTTGTACTTTTAACAGAATAATATATG